CTCGCTTCGCGCTGGTCAGCTGGTCCAAGTCGCCCGCTCAGGAAGCGTCAGCCGGAGTTGTCGACGGAGATGTGGTCAAAGCCAGGTTTGGGGGGGGAACACAGCAAACCAGGTATTTTGCGGTGAGTTTTTTTTTTACCTCCGTGTCCTTCCAGGGCTTATTGTGCACTACTCATGTTGATTCGGGCGCTTCTGTTGGCCGATGGAGGGTTGAAAGAATCACGCCATGAAGAGTTTGTTTAGCAGTAATACATGATCTGCGACCGCATCTATAATTGTACCAGCTCGTTTCAGCACATCTTTAGTTAAAAGTTAATAAGGTGATCATGCATGCCTTAATTGCTAGTGTTCCGGTTAATTTTGGGTTTGAGTTCTCATTTGCTCACCATTTATTTATTTACAAACGCACTGCTAACATTGCCTTTGCATTCCATTGCAAAGGTAAAATCGTACACCAGGGGTGCCAGATCGCCAAGCCCGCACTCCAGAATCCTCTTCACCAGTTTCGCTGCTTCTTCCTCAGTGGCATAGACAGGATTTTGCCCGGCAGGCTGACAAATCGAGGCATAGTGTTTGCTTTTAAACTTAGCGAGGCACAGCACCCTTTACGCCAAGGTGGGCCCCACCGCGTGACTACAGATGCATTAATTCAAAGATGCAGGGAACCTTTTGAGGCTTGGTATCCCATTTGAATGCCTCAAGAGCCTGCGTTTATGTTTTAGGGTCCTTACCGGCGTCTTACACAGCCAAAGGGCACCGGAGCCTTCAGGACAATGCCTTGCCCCCAGCCACCCCCGAGTTGGCCCATGGCTCCAATGCCCCCAAAAGGTCCCGTTGGTGACGCCACTGCTTCTCCTGCTTCTTTTTGGCCCTTGGAAGCATTCACTCCTCCTCTATCTGCCCCATGTCTCGATCCATCGCACGTATGAAGCCAGAACAACTCACTGGGAGGCGCGTTTCACTCCAGCTTGCAGTTGCACGAGATGTAAGCCCTTATTTCACACTCAGTGGGCTGGCGCAGCCAGGCTCCAGAGCTTGGCTCACTTCACACTCAGTTGGCTGGTGCGGCCAGGCTCCAGAGCTTGGCTCACTTCACCCTCAGTGGGTTGGCGCAGCCAGGCTCCAGAGCTTGGCTCACTTCACACTCAGTGGGCTGGTGCAGCCAGGCTCCAGAGCTTGGCTCACTTCACACTCAGTGGGCTGGCGCAGCCGGGCTTCAGAGCTTGGCTCACTTCACGCTCAGTGGGCTGGCGCAGCCAGGCTCCAGAGCTTGGCTCACTTCACACTCAGTGGGCTGGCGCAGCCAGACTCCAGAGCTTGACTCACTTCACACTCAGTGGGCTGGCGCAGCCAGGCTTCAGAGCTTGGCTCACTTTTCACTCGGTGGGCTTGGCGCAGCCAGGCTCCAGAGCTTGGCTCACTTCACACTCAGTGGGCTGGCGCAGCCAGGATTCAGATCTCGGCTCGCGTGATAAGTGTGACGACAGACAGTGAGGCAGATCACCCTTTTCATCTCCTGGGGGTGCCAGCCCCCCCCCCCCCCCCCCCCGAGGCGCCAGTACCTGGAGACATCAGACACTGGAGGCGCCACCTCTCTCATTCCCATGCCGTCATTCAACTTATCCAAGATGTTGTGGTTTTTCTCACGTGACGATTTTGATCATCACCGGAGGTTTAAACTCACCATTGGCGTTATGCCACTGAGGAAGAGTTTAGAGTGGTAGGTCTGGGTCAATTTTTTAGATCCATGGAGATCTGTTCATTTAAACATTTGTTTTAAAATGTGTTTCTCCACCCAAACCCTCTCCTGCAGTAGCAACTCAGTAGTTAACCCGCCTAACATCAGTCACTCCTCTCCAGATAACGTCTCTGTTGGCGAGCGCTTTAGATGGTAAAAATATCCCTGCACCAACGAGATTTGTCAGCTTACTACAAACGTGGTGTTTAGTATTTGGCTTACAACATCCGGAAGTTTCCGATGCTGAAAAAACGACAGGTTAATCGTAAGCAGCATATAACTCAGGCCTAACACTATTTATAAGAATTAAACAATCCGAATGAAATAAGCTCAATTGGCTGCCATTTCTAAACTAAAACTGATAGAGACTCGCGTAAAAAATGCGGTAGATCGTCCAGTGAGATCTAATGATTGACTGCAAACCTGATGTGGGTAAGTCTATAATTGCTTCACTGTGCCAGATCACTGACCAGTTTTCCCTGGAATTTACAGCATTTTAGTTTATGTTAAAACGTTGACGAAACCATGCAAGGTATTGATACGACATATATATATATATATATATATATATATATATATAAATGTATATATGTAGGTGCATATATGCATATATATCCATGTATATGTATAGGTGTGTTTTGAGGTTTACTTCGAGTATGCTGGAATAGGTTTTGTGTGCGTTTTGAGCAAATTTGAGGACATAGGGTTCTGTAAATAAAACAGTGCCGTCACCGCTGCCCGTGATTGGCGAAATCGTCCGTTGGTGGCCACCACCCGCGCCGGCAGTGGTTTATCGTCGGGCAGTGCACTTAAAAAGCATCTTCTCAAAAATTGGACATACCAGAGACGCGTTTTAGTGTCGAATGTCGCCCACTAGATGCCCGAAAAGCCGCTGAAAATTTGAGGTTGTCGCCTGAGGTTGTTGAAGTCTTGTCACCTGACAAGTATATATTGGGAGCGGTGCGAGTGAAGACCAAATTGAACTTCTTTTCTTTCTTCTATATCAGGACAGTGGTAAAAGTGAATCTTGAGCAAGTTAAACTATCTCCAATGAAAATCAAGCGGGAGGAAAGTGGCCATAAAACTTAATTTCACATCCCAAAAGGCACGCACCGACCTTGGAAAGCTTGTTCGAAGGACTTTCACTGCTCACCCGGTGGACCATTAAATAGATCACCGTTTTCCTTTGGCTACTCTAAAAAACAGCTGGATGATAGATATCATCCAAAGTTGGTTACCTTAAGATTAAATAAAGTATTCACTTTTCAGAAAACCGCGACATTCTTATTTGCACAATCTGCCGCTTGCTCTTCTGCGATGAGTGAAGAAACAAATCACCTTCATTTGTTCTCATAACTCCAGACTGTGTATCAAATGGGTGATTCAGAAGGACTTTTTTCGTTATTTGCATGAAACACGTACAGTTGTCATTGAAAAGCACACGTTATTATGGAAAACTTTGATTTTTTATAATTTGCTGGTTTACGCCACGAAAACATATCCATTGTCAGAGGTTTTGACAACAGAATTATAGCATGCCTAACATCTTCAAAGCACAGTTTGGTTGTTTGGCCCGGATTTTTGAATAACGGTTGTACACAAAAACGTCATGTGATCACATTCGTGGTGTATGTGCGGTTGAACGTGCTCAACTCGAGTTTCATCACCTCCTTCAATATTTCTAGTTAGGTTGTAACCAGAGGATGACTATGCGTCCTTCACTAACCCCGACCCGGCACATCACCTTTTGACCCACCTAAGCCTTACACCTCACCTTCACCTCTGGGTCAGTGGAGCCTGGTATCGTCAATTTTGTTGTTTGGTGTCTGGTTTAACCCGAATCATTTTTCATTACCCCAATGCTACCTGATCTCCAAACCCGTCAGGCTGATGGAGCGGTCGCTGCCAAAGCTCTACAGTGCCCCTCGCTCGTCTGATCGGAGGAGGAATCAGTGCGAGGTCGGTATGTGTGCCATTCCAGCCGCCTCCTCACCACTCACCAGACAATAGAGATATGCTATCACCTGTCGCACTGAGACGGATCCTTTATTCTCTATGAAGGGATCCAGCGAGTGTTTTACGGCCTGCACGAGCCCTGCGGGGAGCGGCGGCCTGCCCGCTACCACAGCGTGCTGCACCTGGCTCTGGGTGGCGCTTTGAGGCGACAGCCGCTTAAAGGCACCTGCGCCTGGAACGTGGGGTGAATGAGGCCTGAATTACATCTCACAGCTTTTCTGATCACAAGATAGTTTCGAGTTGCTGCAGATATCAAAACAATCAGACTATCTTTCTTCTTAGTGAAGTGAGAATTTCGTCGTTGCGCGTACTGCCGTAGCCGAACATCTGATCTATTAACTGAGCACGCTCTCATCATTGAGGAGGAGCGCGAAGGGGGAGTGGAGTGTCTGCCCATGTCCTCACTGTTCTTGCCTCTGTAGCTTTTGTAGCTTACGAAGATGCTCACATGAGCTTACAAGCATTATGGATTAGGAACTCTCATGATCCATTCCGCGCAGTGCCCAGCCGGCATCGCACCAACTGCGGTACCGGCTGATTACCTCACGCTATAAAGGTCTGGTGCCAACTAGGATCCGAGTGTTGAAAACCGTGCAACATAAAAGTATTACAGAATGAGATATTCAAATATTTTCCATAAAATACAAGTTTTGGCTGAAAATTGTGTTCTCGTCAACATTATGACAGCATAACAAAAAAACGCTCTGAAACGCACGGTGCGCTGTAGAAGTGACGAAATAAGAAAACGCCAATGCATCGGCAAAAGATAATTACTAGCTTCGCTGTGAATCGAGAGCCTGATCCCTTCCTTTAATAATTGTTTGTGTAATGGGCTGATGTGAGCGTCAAGCGCACATTCCGTTACGAACAGTACTATACGGTGCCGGAGTTAACACAGGATCAACGAACGTTTGGTACGGCTGTGTGAGGCATCGCATTCTCCAGCGGAGACTTCGGCTATGATTCAAATCAAACCCCACTGTCAGGATAATTTGTTAATGTCAGCGTTGAAGTAGCGCATCTGCTTTCAGGCTGTGCGACAGACATATGTGCCTTTTGCGTGGGCGCGGCGTATTTGTACCTCTGGCATATGCGCTTTTGATGTATAAACCTTCTTCACCTGAAGGCTGTGGCATAAGATGTATCCATCTTTTGTCAATTGTATGCTGTCCAAGGTCACCGTTCAAGGACCCACTCTTTTAGGTTGAGTTGTTTGCTATCTTACTCCAAAAGACAAACATGGCAATTAGCTGATCAAATCAGTTTATTTCAAAACACTTCACACTGGAACTCAAATCCGGCGACGAACAAAGACAACTCGTCATTGCTCTTGGATGACCAATTGAGCTAGTTGGCTGGTCGAAACACAGCCCACTAGCAAGTCATTTTCCTCTTTGGTAGCTTCAAAGTGAATAAATTATCTCCAGCTCATCACCACTCGCGCACACACTCCACCACACACATTAATGCCAGCCGCCGACTGCGGCGAGCGCTCAGTTCGGCTCGGCCGGGCCGGAGCGCGCGGTGCGAGCTGACCCCATGACGAGTCCTGGACGCCGGATTAGGCGGCCGGTCGCAGCTGCAGCGCTGCGGGTCCGCACCAGCCAGAGCCAGGTACGGTATGCGACGCCGGCAGTAAACCGGCCGTCATCTGGCCAGAGATCGGGCGCGCCCGACCGCCGCCAGCGGACGGGCCGGCAAGGCCGACGCTCAATAAGTTAACGGCGAGGGTGCGGCGGGCCGCGGCCGCCGCTCAGTACGCGAAGTAGCCCCGCTGGATGAGATCCATGAGGTTGACGTTCGGCTGGCGCCGGACCGGCTGGCGACGGAACAGCGGCGGCTCCTGGCTCTGGCCGCCGGCCGGTTTCTCGCCGTCGGCGGCGTGCGGCTCCATCGGCACCGCCACGAAGATGGGCTGCAGCACGACGACGGGGGAGCCGTAGGCGCCCAGCGACGGGTACTGCATGCGCGAGAGCAGCGAGAGCAGCGACGCCTGCGGCCGCTGGAAGCTGGGTCGCGCCGGCTGGGTCAGGGCGAAGCCGCCGAAGGTCTGGCCGTACTGAGCGGGCTGCGGGCGCTCGGGCTCGTCTGAAACCGAAGTGGATGGTCAGGCTACGGCGATGGAGGAGAGCATCGCTCTGTTAAGTGGGCATAGGGATAGGGCGGGCGTCGCTCTGTAAGCCTGACGCCTAAATCGCTCGTCATGGAGAATTCCGCACGGTAACCCTCGTGGGGTCAGTAATTAGGTCACACGTCAGGAAATGCTGCGAGGAGCTGCGTCCTAGTTCGTGCAAAAAACAAATAAAAACGAGAAGGTCTGCAGCAGGCAACCAGGAAATGAGTCACTGGCACAGGCCATTAACTGGCAAAGGTACTGGTCCAACCTCTTCTTTTGGGTCGCGAGACGCGGGAATAAAGTTACTTTCAGAAATGGTGAGTAATGCTGTTCTGACCTCTCTCACATCTCTATAATTAATGCGTGTGCGAAAGCTTGTTCTCAAACAACGTGGGCACCAGCAAATTATTCGCTTCGTTAAAATGTTGTGCTTAACTGTCAGCGATTTTTTTAAAAGTGAAAAGTGCATGATTGAATAAAAGCAGGTGTCCTTGATATGCTAGCCTCACGTGCAGCAGGGGAGCACATCATATCTCAGAAAAGAGACCGCGTTTTTAATGGAAAAGCGATTTGCAGGCGTCAGATATCATGTTCCACAAGCTTAAGCCTCGACATATTTTACCACGGCAATTTGACCAGTGATGTCATCAGAAAAATATCGTTAAGTTCAAGATCCGGACCGGTGATTATTAGCTATTGCAGCACGGACAGCACACCTCCCACTCCTGCCGTGCAAAGGAAAACTCCATGGCCACGCCAAAATCCTATCTCTTCATCGAGTGACGCGGACGGGCCCGGCAACAGCTGCCGTCCCGGCCGTCCTCGTCTCGGTCTGTGCCCCTGCCCTCCACGGGTCTGCCCGAGGCGGAGGCGGGGGTGCTGCACCCATGGTGCTCGCCGGCCACCCGCCTCAGACTTCCGCCGCGCCCGGCCAGCCGGTCCGCCAGTCACGCTGACCCAGACGGTTCGGCCGCCGGTGCAGCGGGGAGGCGGGGTCAGCGCGGCGCGGCCCGCACCGGCGCCGCCCTGGCCCAGGGTCAGCCGGAGAACACAGACGAGACCGGAAGCCAAGCAAGACGGGGAGGGGGAGAGTGGGAAGGGGAGGAAGACGGCTGTTACTCTAGGAAGAAAGGAAAAGAAAAGAAAGAGTTGATGGCCAAGTCAACGAAGAGATTTATAAGTGAAAGCGTATTTTGAATAGGCATTCTCTGTTTGAACATGTTTCGTTCTCTTTAGCAAATCGATGCGATAACAGTGTGTGCACTGTTTTAGTGTACACACTTAATTTAATTGCGCGTCACGCAAAGCTCAGAAGCATAGTGCGGCCTCATTTTTAAACTGGGAAATTCCATGCAGCGGGAACGGTCGCCTCCTGCAACATTCCAGCATTAGCTGACCACGCGACTGATGGAGTCGGCGGCGCGTGCCGGCTGATCCTGCACGCAGGCGGATCAGACCACGCCGCTGTGTGAGCCGGGGGGATCAGACCACCGGCGCGTGAGACCAGGTCACACCGCCCTGACGGACGCGGGACACCGGACCGGACTGGACCGGACCAGACCGAACCGGACCGGACCGAGCCGGACATGCCTGGCGAATGATCGCGGATGAGGCGGCGGCGGCCTGCGGTCGCTGTTGCCGAGGTGACCCTCTCCAGCGCTGATGCTGTCAGACGTGGTAAACGATGGACTCCACCGCACCGCGCAGCACTGACCGGTACCGGCCGGACCGGAGCAGGTTGTCCGGCGGAGGTCGGGGACCCCACTCATGACCTTTGCGCCCGGGGATGGCCGGGATGGGGTAGGGTTAGCACGTGATGGTGCAGGACCGTGGGTGGACAGCCTCGCGACGTGGAACTCCGTTAAGGGGATCAGATAGATGCGCTGTCATGGTCCAGCCATGGGTTCTGCAGGACACGGAGGCCTCTCTTGTCCACACGATGTACGGAAGATCGTGACTGCTAGCAACGCCAATGTGTCCAGCACTGATAAGTAATGTTTTGTCATGCGTCCCATCCTAATCCGATATCACGTTGGCTGACGAGCCTTCCCCATGCAGTCGCAGATTCTGCAATAACGTAGCAGAGTCAGCAGAATTCAGGTCATAAGCCGTTAAGCACGTCATGGAATGTGTCCTCTAACGTCCCCTCTCCGTACTCTGCCAGCTCCGCGCCAGCTTAACCGCAACGCTTGGCTCCTCGCATGACCTGCGATCGTGTCTGGCAGGTAGAGGCGTGACGAGTGACGCCGCTCGGGGGCACCATACTGGGAAACTCCGCTTTGGCTGACAGAAGGCAAGGAGTGCCGGTCGTGTAGATGATACTAGTGACAGCCCCGGGGACGCCCGACGGCACGGCCGCCACGTGCGTCACGACCCGGGTGCCGCCGGCGGGGCGGGACGTGACCGCCGTAGCGGGGAGTGCCGGACGGGTCACGGCGGTCGTCACGAGGCATCACGTCGTGATGAGGAGCGGCCCGACGCTCTCGGACCGTTATATGGGTCAAGGTGGGCAGGCCGTGCACTTTGTGACGAAGACAGGTCTGAGGCGTTGATTGTCCGACGGGTTGGAGTGTGCGCTGTGCCGGCGAGTGCCGACGGCAGCCCATCTCGTCCTTCCTCCCGGATGGAGATCCTTCCTCCCGAATGGGGATCCGTCCTCCCACGCGATCGAGATCGACTTCGCAGACCGGTATCTCGAGGATATGGCGTGCCCACCGCTGGGCCGCCACTGGAGAGATCATCGGGCGATGACGGGGTTCGGGACAGATAAGCGCCGCTGCTGTCACGCGCCCATCACGGGCCCGTTACGTCGGCTGAGGAACTGGGACTTATTTGGGTTACTGGTACCGAACGAACGGATGCATGACCTTCTCATGCTGATGCTCGTGTGAAAATGTGTCGTGAGTGTAGCCCACGGCCCATGAAATACCACAAAACTTCGAGCATCAATCGATCTTTGATCTGATCTGATGCTGTTCGATCTCACCTTGGTCACGGCAAAAGCAGAACCGCCCCTTCGAGCAAGCTGGAGCATGCGCTCTACTTCAGGCTAAAGATCCCGACCACCACCACACGTGCAAAGCTCCGAGCCTCACCGTTCAGCAGGATGGCAAACGAGTCGTCTGGGACGGCCGACGGCTTTCCGGTCTCTGCTTCCTCCTCCTCCTCCTCGGGGGTGCTCGGGGCCTCGTCGTCGTCGGCAGCGGGCGCATCAGCAGCGGCGTCGTCGGCGGGGACGGTGTCAGCCTCCTCCTCCGAGTCGGCGTCCCCTTCCACAAGGTGGGGCGGCGGCGCCACCACCGAGCGGCGCGCGCCCGACTCCATGGCGATCTGGTCCTCGACCGAGTCGTGGATGTACGGGTCCTGGATGGTGGCCGCGCACGCCAGGCCCATGGCCGACACCAGCACCTGCCGGCAGGAGGGACAGCGTCAGAGTTTACAAGGACTCATGTGTCGATGAATTTAGCAGCAAAATTTGAGAACAAAGGTAATTAAGAAATGGCATTTAGGAGTTGATGCTTGCTCCGAGCGGTTGTGACAACGCACATACATTTCCCGCACTTCTTTGTAATGTCGTAGATTCACGACGAACTGCTGCTCCCACTTTATCAGTATCTCACGGCATTGTTTCCCCCACTCTCCGCACTGGAGTGACAGAAGGCAGAAACAACGGCCGGCAGGTTGAATAGAATAGGAATGGAGCCTTTAGTGGTGCGGTGTCCTTCTTCCCTTCTGATCGCAAAAGTGATATTTCGGTGAAAGACAAGATAGACCTGAGTCACCGGTGCATCGTATTCCATACGAAAAACTAATGGATCAGACTGACGGATGAATGATGTTGTGCCAAGTGCAGGGCCTGGGAAAAGCCATGCCATTTCAAGCGCGCGCTAATGCAAAATTGTTCCCATAAACAAACTTGGAACGTACAGCACTAACACAGATCATACACCCGCCACGATTGTAGGGACTGGTCATGAGATTACACGTACGACCTTGGAGCACATCGCCCGCTGCGGCCCTCGTTAGCGGGCTGTGACAGATTACCACGCGTCGGTGCAGCGGCATCCCAATTACCACGAGCTTAAAGCGCCACCCCGCTTCAATTCCCGCGGCCTGGGAGGCCTCAGATGTCCGGTCTGATAGCGTGTCGTCTCATGGCCGGCGACACGTGCCGGTTGGCAGAGGGCCGCAGCTGCAGCTCTGCTTTGTCGTGCCGAAGACATGCCACATCATTGTGGTCGGTATCTCCGGCGCTGAGCCGCTGGATGATACCGTTTGCCGCCGGTGAGTGGTCCTTTGTCGGCTCAGAAAGAGGAGAGCTCAATGTGATGTACCGCAGTGCATGGTGGCAATGACGCTCGGGGGACCCGAGGCCGTAGAAAGGAGACGTTTCTGATTTATTCGGTGCTGTTTTTTTCGGATGGTTTTGCTTAATCTCAAACCTGTAACTGCTTTTGCACTTGGGTGCGGGCCGGTGCTTTTTTTACGCGGCATTGTATTTCGTGCTTTGTCATGGCCAAGAAAAGTGCGCGCGCGACGTTTTTCCACCACTTGACTCATCCTTACTTCTACGACAAGGTTTACTGAACCAGTGCCAATATGCCCTTCCAAAAACACAAACAACCATTTGTTTTAAAGCGCATCGCATTTAATCTGCATTGATGTTAAGTCTCTGGAAAGTTGAGTGCTATGTTCACTGGAGCATGGCTCTGCGTTTGCTTTTTCAACTTATTGAAAATTGAGGTACACAGATACAAGCTTGTTTGGAAATAACATAATCGAGCGAGCGTATAGTGTAGGATATAAGATCGACACACGTCCGGCGCATTTTGTGCGCTTGTGAACTGTCATTATGAAAATATGATGCTCAGAACTGCCTGCGTATGCGTGCGTCCCTCTGCCGAGAAAGCCTGGAAAAGGCTGCGGCTGGAGATACAAAAAGGATTGCAATATTTTGACGAGAGAAGTGATATTTATAATTGAAGTAGAACTAAACGACTGGTGAGGCGTGTTGCATCGAGTGCGAACTGCGACGAACAATGAATGTTGCAAAGGATGTGAGCCGTGCCAAATAGCGTGACAATTGAAATGAAGAGAATACAGGTGATAGAAATCGCAATGAGGCATACAACAACCCCCCCCCCCCCAAAAAAAAAACTAACATAACGTATAGTCACACATGCGTTTATACACTCTACACAAACAGGCATCTGAATCAGGACTTCGTATCGCCACTCAATGCATTATCAGTTAGTATAGATGTGAAAGTTAAACATTCTGTTTACAAGATCTAGCAAGATCTTGGACGTCTGTCCCTGGCTTGAAAATGACCACGATAGAATATTGTGCGCTGCTCGGCAGAAAAAATGACCTGGTGAAATTTAGGTCATATTAGAGTTGAACCAAAGGCTTTAATTATGTTGTCAAGCACATCACTGTGCGTTGGGGTACTCACCAAAACCTTAAGCTCCATGTTGTCTGTGAGGGAGTGCGGTACGTCGGTGTCTAACGACTTTGTGGCAGATGGAGCGTCCAGCACCGTTTTATACGGCGGTACAGTCTCTGACATGCGGCACGACCGGCCAAACGGCCGGCGTGCCGCGCGCGGCAGGCGGATATCACCCGTCCAGAGATATCGGCCGGCCCGCAGATCTGGCATGCGTCATCAGGGGGCACCGCTCAAAGAAGGCGCGTCAGGCGCGGAATCCTTCCGACGGACGCCGACTGCGGTCGGACAGATCCTTCTGGAACGGAGGCTGCGTCGACGGCTGACACACCTCAGTTTTGCCAGCTGGAAGAGGGTCAGGCACAGCGTGGTGTGGGAAATATTCAGAAAGCACAGGTGCATACGGCAACGTTTGCAGCCATTCTGCGCAAGTGCACAGACGTGGCTCAGCAAGCACATGGGTCGCGGCCGAAGGGAATACGCCGGGCACTAGTTTGAGGCAAAAGCTATTTAACTGAATGTCATGATGATCGTGGCACACATTGCTGTTTCTCGTACATCACGTATTGCATTGTCGTGTCGTACTTGATATCATCGAGTATCGCCGATGGACCGCTTGATATTACCGGTGATATCAGTTTGCCGTCACCAAAAATAAATGGGTTCGTTAGGAACACAGGTGTTCCAAGAGTTCGACACTAGACGGTTAACCCCGATAAGAACGTGTCGGAAAGAAGTCTCAGTTGCGGAGGGCAACGGAATTTCTAAACATGATTTTGCCAGACTGCAGTCACGCGGTTCCACACACCCATCGCTTCCCTGGTCTCGCTCGGGGCAAGACTCGGCTCACATCCGCATTCACCGCACGTTCGAGAACCCGCGCACGCAACGCTAGCACACGCGCTTCGTACGCACAGCGCTCTCTGCAATCACGAGATCCGCTGGCGGTGAGAGGAGTTGGCCGGGCTTACAGCCGACGCAGTGCACGCACCGCCAATCGCAGAGGTGGAGCTCAGTGCAGTCATTGAAATACCAACGATCAGGCTTCTCAAAAGTATGGACATTTGCTACGTCTTAGCGTCTTCGGTGGCCTTTTGCGGTGACTTCAGCATCACGTTGTGAGGCCGAGCCAAGGGCATTCCCAATGACGCTCAAATCCCCTTCCGTGGGTTGCTGGCGCTGAGTATACCCTTTGTTCCTCTGCCGCTCGCCGCAGTTAAACGTACCGTCGGGTTGTTAGACGGCCGGCGAGTTGTCGGTTGGAATGTGCTCGACAGAAGGCACTGACGCATTAGGATAGGTCGTTGCTTCCGTAATCTTACTGCGCACGTGCGCAAAGGCGCGTTCGCGTGTGTGAGCTGTACGTTACAACGAGAGCCTGACAAAACAGTGCCGCCGATTTCGAACTGGAAACGTTGACTTCAATGCGCAACAATGATCACTGACGCTGCACATGGTCCGGATGGAGCGTAGGCGTGCGGATGCAGCTCAGCCAGAGCACATGCACAACGAACAGTGTGCCACTGAATGGACTTAACGAAAGCGGAGAGCTGGATGTCTGGCACGGCATGTGCGGTGGGAGATGATTGTGCTATAGCGACGCTCTTCCCCGGCGCCTTAATGCACCGGGACCGTCCGTGAACATAGCCTTGCGGTGATCAAAAGCACATTGTTGGTGAGTGATGAGAGCATTCAGTGGTACTGTAATCCAGTGACTGATGGTTCTCGGACAACGTGCTGTGCAGGGAGCCTACGTATGAGGAAGCACTTTGGAAGGATCATGTAAAATGCGTGCTTAATATGATGACTCAGAAACATGTCCTTTGCTCTTGGAGCACGCTGTACGGTTCCTTGCGGCGTGGCTGGTAGGTTAATCCCGTATAAGACTGCGTAAGCCGTGGGCCAGCGCGTGTACCTGGATCTTTGCGGGTAAAAGTACGAAAAAACAACCATGTAGCTCTACATATGATTACCTGCGTGGCAACAAAACGTGCTTTAATGGCGGCGTCCCTCATACAATAACATTTTCCATAAAAAAAGCTCCGGTAACTGAAAAACATTGTTATATGCTTTAGTCATCACGAAGTCAAGGAATGGTCGTTCAGAACGGTTCTGTGCAAGTTTGATATTTTCTTTCCATCCAGGAACAACAAGGGCAACAACGGGGCAGGAAACGCTTCACATCTGAAGATAATGTAGCAAACATCAGATAAGATGAAATAATCTCACTTGTAACTATTGCTGTACTTTTAAGTGGAAAAGACTATTCTGGACAACACAATTTCTCTGTTAAGTAAATCTTCCTTTCAATACGTCACTGTTTCGTTTTGTCATAATACCTTGTACAACATTAATTGAGAGCCAATTGACGGCCGTTGTTTCCGCAAATCTACTCACGAACGCCAGCAACGAACGGCTCGACGATTACATTTTTATTGACTTTGATCACGGCACGGCTAACGGGACGGCAGAATTTGAATGGCGTTATCATGGCGTCATGGATGTCTGGGTGACCTTGAAACAGTCTCCCGAAGTCGTCTGCACATCTTGACGGACGTGTAGCTCAGAAATTAGAGAGATTTAGGTCTTAAGAAGGGCAGGGCTGAGAATCGCATCGATTAATCCTCGAGATGACCATCTCAGTTAAAAAATATTGTATCAATGTGGAACACTCCCTTCTAACTAAAGCAGAGGTGGAGAAAGTTTGCAAAAATTTGCCTGCCATTAAGAGTAGTTCGCTAACACGTGCTCGGGTGAGGGTCAAATTAACCTCCCCCAGCCAAAGGTTTTTTCCGGAATGATTTACGAACGGCGCGACGTGTCCGCGCCGAATTTTGCATAGCTGTAGACAATTGAATAGCGTATCGTTTGGCGTCAAAATTTAGATGTACCTTGCAAAGTCGCTGATCTATGGCAGGTCAAAGTCAAGCCATAATTCATCGAAATCAATTTCTAGGCAATAGTTCAATCTGATGCAACAACGGAGTGTTAGACGAAGCATTCATCTTTGAGATACTTTCTTAGGCAACACAACAATCGAATGAGTGACAAGTTTTATTAACCTAGGGTCGGGTACGAAGGTAACACCTAGGTCAAAACCAACCTGTTTTATTACTCTGGAGTTTGCTGTATGGGATAGCTTCTTGTGCTCATTTCGAGGTTAGTGATAACAGAAACCGCATTATACGTCTTTCGTGGGCTTTGTAAAGGTCATTAATAAAATCATTGGCTTCCGTCATATTTTCGTCTCTTAACTTTAAGATCTTTAACTTTTCTGGCAAACTTTGAATGGAGTTTGAAGCATTAATTTATTCTTACGTGGTGAGTGGGGGCTTACCAATATACGGGGATACCAGGCCTCAGCCAGTTTGACTTCAACGACATTATTTCATTATGAGTAAAGTAAAGACACGTACACCTCAAAAAGCGCTCTGAATTGTAAGTGAATAAATGATAGTTAACTTACAGTATTGGCATCATAGCTTCAGGTGACTGAGTTTAATTGCGTGTTGAGCCAAAGTGAAGCAGCTACTTTCGTAATAACATGCACTTATTTTTCGCATTATTGTTGTCACACAAACTTGGGGCTTCTGACTCAAGAAATGAAATGTGAACTGTCATTTGTTGTGTCCATTAGTAATCTTCCACTTGCACCTGTATTGGCGTTGGAATGAAAATAAATACTTTTCAAAGGCGACATTCTTGGAGATGTAGCGGCGCGAACACTCCGAGCGCGGCGAGCGTGGCAGCGATAAGCGGCAGCTGCACAGATGCCTGCACGACGCCGCAGATGTCATACTGGACACGAAATCTGCCTGTTGCGATGCCTATTACCTCTGGTATACTGCCAAGGTTTGATATGTGTGTTTTTGCTACCAAAACCTTTCTTTCAATAACCGACCTAAATTCCTCATGAACATGTCCAGATATCAGGTTCGAATATCGTACACCGTCGATGTATGGCGGCTAGAGATGGAATACGGGCGTTACACGGAATATCCCCAGGCGTCCAGAAATGGCCAAGGGGTGCTGGTGCCGCGACGACAGATCTGCACAGAAAGTGGTGCGATGATGTAAAATGCAGCCATGAACTTGGATACTCTTAATCAGATTAATTTCAATGAATTCGGATCTTGTGAAGCTTTTAGCCCCGAAAACGAGGGTTTGAACCCAGAGAATTACGACTCAAATCCTAAAATCACTATCAAATTCCGCGACCCATCATATGAATAGCAATCAAATGCACTGGAGATATGTTTTGAAGCTCCATTACTCTTCAAACGCACAGCTGGCTTCACGCACAGGTCCCCGGAGGCTTTGTGGCTTGAATTAATACCCTGCAAGTTGGATGTCACTAGCTCCGTTTAGTGTCACTAGCTAGTTTATGGGTTGCGGTGATATCGCGCGTGAATTCATTACCCTCACCCCTCCTCCGATGCCATTAGGCACAAAGGCCCTCAAATGCGGACACATTGAAGCCTAGCCCTAGCGAGTGTGAGACTGCCAATTGAGGTCAGGCCCTGCCTGTGGTTTTATGGCCTGCTCAGTTATTAGCTTACTGATAGGTGAGGCATCAATGTTGCGTACGAGCTGCCATTTAGGAAGAAAGAATTCCACCTTGTCATACTTTGTTATAGACTTCTTCACTACATATGGTATGAAGTAATATTTCCCTTGTTTATGCCTCATTACAAAACAAAACTTTAAACGCTTCGCAGGCTGGCGCCTTTGCCTTATTCTCTACTTATGGCAGAATAAGACCTGGAGTATGTGCCATTGAGCGAAGTGTTAAGCACAGTTAGCTGAAAATAAATGAGATCGGTTCAAAAATAGAAATTTTACGGCATTAAAGCCACGTAGTTTCGATTGAAATGTTGGTACACATTCAAACGTGCTTCAGGCTATTCAATTTTAGAATCACAGCCCAGTCCAGGTGGGTAAATCCTAATTAACCCACCATATGATTCGAATCACAAATGACAGCGCATCTTCATTTCTAGTTTACAAGCTTTCAGGACAATAGTTTGATTGTGACATGTACACTCACCCATGGCCTGCA